AACATGTAAATGATGAGCAGCATAGCTGTGTTCCAATAAAACTTTATTTACAAAACAAAAACAGGTGGTGGACCAGATTGAATCCTGTAGGATTAAAAATCTATTTTAATTGTGTTTGCAGGGTACACAATTTGAATATATTTTATCAAAAATGGTAGATCACAATTAAAATAAAAATCTTCAATTATTTTAGTACATCTTCAATAAGTTGTCTTCTAAACTGTTCAAAATCCTCTGTTAAAATTCAAATTCAAATTATGATTAGTCAATATCAATATTTTAAGTCAAAATCACTTAAAGCAGACTTTTGATTTTTATTTATTTTTATTTTTTATTTTTTTAAAGATTTTATTTATTTATTTGAGACAGAGAGAATGAGAGAGACAGAGAGCACACGAGAGGGGGGAGGGTCAGAGGGAGAAGCAGGCTCCCTGCCGAGCAGGGAGCCCGATGCGGGACTCGATCCAGGGACTCCAGGATCATGACCTGAGCCGAAGGCAGTCGCTTAACCAACTGAGCCACCCAGGCGCCCCAGACTTTTGATTTTTAAAGATTTGATTAAATCTTATTAAATAAAATAAAACTATTCACGATTCTAGCCTTTAATATTCATTTTGGTGCCAACATAAAGAACTGGTATCATGCTTCATCTGCATTAGATCTAGACCTCTCTATTTGCATATTTAAAAGTCAGATGAACTGTTAATGTTGCAAAATGTTTCTCAACTGTCATGAGCAATGGTTGCAAAAACTGCAAATTTGTGAGTAGCTTTAGAGCCATGAATTGGATAAAACATGAAGGAAAACAATATGGACACTCAGCACTCTGGGAAATGTACTTCATCACGTACCATCCCAAAGAAGGGATTTAATAATTTAATTAATCTGTCTTCTCTCTTTTTTATGTACTTTCCGTTTTCAGTCCTTCCTCTAGTTTGAAGTGTCTCCCTCTTATGCCAGCGAGGATACAGTGAAAAACTTTCAGGGCATTTGGAAGCTGCTGCCTCTTGTTTCAAGAATGTGGGGCAAGAGAAATGGAGAAACATTTCCTGAGTCTGGATGGGGTTGATCATGGGATGGATGTTTAGACTTACAGGATGCGTCTGCCAACGCTAAGAGTAGGATCCTGTGTGAGAGGGCACGTCTGTGACTTTGGAGAAATTAATTTTAATGTTCATGCCCGATCTTTCTTTTTCTTCCTTATAATTTTTCTGTATTAAAACATTCCACTTTCCCAGGAGACCACGGAAGATGGCAGAGGGTGGATCCTGGTGCTCAGTGGCCCAGGCATACTCCCAGGGCAACCTGATAGCCACCGTGGCCAGGAGGTAATGGTCATGTGTTGTGAGGGCATCAGCATTTCTGGCAATTTCTAGAGAAAGAAATTAAACTACCTGGCTTTCTTCTGTAGGAGGATGATTGCCAGCCCATCTTGTGGCTGCCCCCAGCCATTCTTTATGAAGGTGTGAGGCCAGGCTGCCCTAAGTACCCCAAGGTGTTTGATGGGCTCCACTGCCCCATGACAAGAAGAAGCAGAGGGGGGTTCCTGCTGACCTCAAAGTTGTACGTTGGTAGCCTACGGGAAAGTTTGCCTGAACCCATCACCTGGCTCTGAGGCTGGCTGGAAGAACCAGGCGGTGACAGCCACCCCCCAAAAGAGGAAGAAGGCCAAGACCCATTACCTGAAGGAAGAACAGCTTGCAAGGCTGGTGGCTAGTGAGACAGTCCTAAACCAACGTTGAGAAGAAAATTAACAAATACACAGAGGTCCTCAAGACTCTCAGACTCCTGCTCCGAGCCTAATAAAGACTGTTTATTCCTCAAAATAAAATTTAAAAAAGGTTCCGTAATTCGCCTACATTGCTTTTATGATCAGATGATGAAAATGCTATTTTGTGCATTAATAAATCTAATTTTGGGGGCACCTGGCTGGCTCAGTCGGTAGAGCATGCAACTCTTGATCTCAGGGTTTTAAGTTTGAGCCCTACATTGGGTGTAGAGATTACCTAAAAATATATTTTTTAAAAAATAATTTTTAAGAATATGATTGTAACATGCAGGACCCTCTGAAAAACAGGGTTCAGGATGGAGGCTTACTATAATTAAAGAGCATCCTGGCTTGGAACATTTCCTAGGGAAGCTCTTTGAGAGAATGAAAGCTTAGGGCTTGGAGTAAGCAGGATTTTCCTTTTAGCTTGATTTTATTTTATTTTTTTATTTTT